TTGACCAATCGGAGTACCGATAACGAGATAAGGAGTGGTCAAGCTTTTCTATAAATACCCCTAATTAGTAAAGTTCAGCTCATTGCAGTTCAGCATGTCTTCAACTGTTCAGCATGTCTTCAACTGTCCAACTGTCCGATTACAGCGAGAACCACTTTGAGAGCATGGAAACTTACAGCAATATGCTGCTGACCGAGGGTGTTTCACCGCTTTCGAACGCAACCGAATCTCCGCCACCGTGTAGTGCTGCTGGGCCTGTTGCTGAGTGCGGGGGTGAAAATTACGGTTTTCAAGCTGGAGGAAACGTTTGTACAAACAACTACCAGGTGGAAAACAACTTTGTGGTGAGTAGATGGAAAATTTATTCTAGTTTCATACATAATCAAAATCAGAGGAATAATCAAACTCTGTTACCACCGTAACGAAGAGAAACAAAATAAGTTAGACAATTGTATTTTAACTAGTAATATAGATTTCGTTTGTCCGTTTTTTGCTATTTGGCAACTTCTCTGCACAAAGTGCAGTTAGCAGAATCGACCACCTTGTACGGTCTTATATCGATATTTGTATTTTACTTTAAAGATTAGACAGATATATAAGCATCTTCAAAACTGTGCATCATGGAAAGCAGGATATTTGAGCTTGATGACGGATAACATTTTACATGCTAGTATATACGTCAAAAAATAGTTGGAAGATTGAAAAAAATCCTTACTTAAACTTGAATTTTTGAACGAAGGTGGTCAAACCATTGCTTGCTTACATTGTTATACGTGTATTCTCAAAACATTTAAAAAATCAGACCAGTCTCATAACCATCATTTGCAAGAAGTTTCCCGCATGAAGATATTCTTTCTCATACTATACGGCCATTTAGCTTTAAGCTTCAAGACAAAAGCAATGAAAATGTACACGTCAAAAAAATAGTGTAAAGGTTAAAAAAACCCTTGAATCTTAATTTCCAAATAAAGAAGGGTGATCAAACCAGTGCTTGCTTCCATGTTATACGTGTATACGCAAAAAGTTAAAAAATCAAACCAGTCTCATAACCATGACTTATACTTTTTGGTACGAGGATATTCCCTCATATCAACTATACAACCATTTAGCTTCAATACAAAAGCAATGAAAGTTTAGTCATACCATATTATAATAACAATTTTTTGTTTCAGGATCTACAAATCAATCAACATCTATCGAAATAACCGCTCTATAGCATCCAAATTCCCTACCAATACGCTGACAGCCAAGATAAAAGATCGACAGGTGAGTCATCACGATAGTGATAAGCAATACCAACTTTCATTTTAAATACTACGATTAGTAACCTGTATATACCTATACAAATTCAAAATGCAGAATATATATGCATATTTTATATTTTTTTCCACAAAATTATCATTTACTTATTGATCGTTTCTAAGAAAATTACTGTGCCATCGATTCTCAAAAAGTACCAACTAAAACAACAGATTGTACTGGTTTAAGAGAATTTATCAAAGTCGGTTCGTAGGTTGCTGAGATTGCACGAAAAGGCTAACAGGAGTGGCTAGAAGTTTCACAGTACGGTTATCAAAAAGCGCTAAAGAGCATATTGTTCCAGACGAATTAAATAACGATTTTTGAACATATATTCTCTTTTAAAAGAAATCGTTAATCAACAGTCAATTTTTACAAACATTGTAGTAAACAAAGTTCTCTAATCTGTGTTTAGAATACTGGCATTGAGAACAACAATAAATTCAACAATTCAGGTGACTTTTGAGTGTTTCAATTAATTTCTGAATAAATGTGCTTTTACACTATTTAGTAGATTATTATATGTTCTTACTGCATCAGTGACATGGCTATTTAATCCTATATTAGCTCTAGCAATAATCTGGTACAAGTTAATGTTTTTCTTTTTTAATTTTGAAAATCATTTCATATTATTCTAATTCCAACCGCTCATCTAGTTTACTGAAATTCAGGTCTGTTTACACATTATCCGTGTTGTCAGGTCGGTCATAGTGGAACAAAATTATTAATCATTTTGCGAAAAGTGTGCCCCATGGAACTAACTTTTAAAACACTTCCTCCAAACAGGCAAAATATATCTAGTATAACAAGGAAAATGCATTATAAATGTTTATTGTACTTTTTGTAGTTACGTAGTATCTGCTTCAGTACAAAGCAGCTGGCATCGACGTTGTCTTATCCAGAAAAGAGTTCTCTTCTGTAATTAAACCCAAGTATTTGAAGCTTTATTCTTTCTCTATTCTAACGTTATTTATTCTTATACAAAAGTTTTCAATTATTTTATACTTCTCTTTAAAAATTAGATATTATTATCGATGTTGATCTTCAATTTATTTGAATACACCCATTTACGGTAAAGAGCAATACCTAAACTTAATTCATCACCCAGAACCTGCTTCTGATTTCTTTTATCTTTAAAAATTAGAGCCTGCTCATGGTCTCCTCTATAGAGAAGAACTGTGTGGTCAGCAAAAGTACTCATAAAATACCCTGCATTAAGATGGTCCTAAGATGACCCCTGAGGAACATCATACTCACTACATAACGAGTCGCTATTTTTTCACCCATTTTCACATATTGTATCCAGTTGAGTAAATGAGTTTCAATCAAATTATACATAGTACCCCTACATCCCACACTTTGAACTTATTCAATAATATATTGATATCTGCCACATCAAATGATTTTCTTAAAGCTGTCAACACCACTGTAACCACTTGCTCTTCATTCAGCGCCCTTGGGACATTATTTACAAAAACAACTGCAACTGAAAGCATTCTACTTTTTTTTTATGATCCCATACTGGTAACTCTCAGCTGTATTTTCATCTTTGAACGACAACCTTCTATTTTTATAATTTTTTCAGCAATTTTAGTTTAAGCACTGATCACGTATATTTGCATACAATTATTCATAGAGTCTTTATCGCCTGATTTATAAAGTGAAGTAATTTCACTGATTTTAAGCTTATTTACTCATTTTAATTATTTATTTGCCATCATGACCCGGTGCTGAATTTATTTTTAATTTCAGTATGGTTTCATTCCCCTCTCGTTCATCAGTGAGGTCTATCAAAGCAATGTTATGATGAGAGATATCTATTTACATTATTTACGATATCTACCTTACCATGGACGAGAACGTTCCCAATCTTCAAACAATTAATATTAGCCCCCTCTGTCCAGCTAAGTTAAAATACCTATACTTCTGGTATTTTATTTTATTGTTTAATCGGTTTTGAATTTTTATAAATTCCGCAACTAAATTCATATTTCAAGTATTTTTTTACCTATCCAGAAATTATTTTCGCGTATTCTATCCGACTTGACCTTACATTCTTGAATTATACTAATTAGGTACTGGAATGTAGTAATATTCACTGTTTGTACCTTCTGTTGAACAAGACATTGAAATCAGTTATAATCTACAGTTTTTATCTCATAATCTACCTATGGCTTATGATTTTTGAGGCTATGTTTAACATTCACTAACAGTAACTTATGATCCCTCAGGGCATTTTCCTTAATCCTCACATTATAATCTATCTTACTACCAGGATCACTGGGAATTCACATATTAAATTATTTATTTTGCAGTTATTTATTGTTAACCAATTTCTGTAGTCAAAAGTCACTAGATAATCTTCTAGCAGGTTCATGGTGATACCTCCTGATATTAAATGATTTCTTGGACGTTTAAGGAGGATGGACTCGAGATACGGAAAAAATCATTATTGCCGTACGATGATGGATTGTAGGTTACACTAATTTTGACACGTTGTTCACCTAAACCAACACACACCTAGTTTACGATGTCATTAGCATTGGACACAGAAGGGTAGTCTCTAACTCAAAAAGGCGGTTCTGCAACCACGATTCACAATCACTAGTCTTCTTTGAACATACTATATTGCACAAGATCATTATTATTTCTGATGTACTAGCTATTCATTTAAGCAATTTTACATCGTTTTCAAGGCTCTTCTAGTTTTCAAACTGCTCGTTATTTTCAACTAACAGAGCTTCAGATCGCTCATATTTCCGTAGGAAAACGCTTCTATCCCCAATCGATAGCAGTTTGTAGCCTTTTTCATCTTTGAACAACCTTGCAGCTTTGTACACTTTAACATTCGCTTTTGTGAGCTCAGGTTTAGAAATACTTTATTATCGGTTGCGTAGCTTAAATCCTGGGATTGAATTTATTTTTTTATTGAAGAAACTTTTAATTTAGTCATACTTAAATACTAATTTGATTGTACCATCCTTTGTGTTTCTCTTTTTCAATTGAAAAACAGTGGACTTATGGTTTATTGGAACATCAAAGTAGTTACCGATCTCGTTTTGATTTCTGGTGGGCTTTCCTCCTCTTTACAAGCTACTCCTTGAACGAACAGGTTACAGGTTCTTGAGAGCTTTTGTTTAACTGTTTTTCAATATTATCTATTTCCTTTTGTAAGGTTTCATTAATTTTGACCTGCTCAGTAAATTTTGTAAGCACTGCGTTGCACCTTTCGTCCATTGCATCCAACTTAGGCGTAGCATTTTACTTGTTGCTGATCAATTTGTTTTGCTCCATCTTCAGCACTACACAAGTTACACAACTATTGGTGAGAAGATTTGCTCAACTTCATATAATTTTAGACATTGCCAGACAGGTCATATGCTTCCAAATACTGCATTTATAACATAACATATCATCTTGGTCATCAAAGACAGACTTATGGCACAAGCCTTTGGCATTTGTAGTCGCCAGCTGATTTAACTTATTTAAATCCACTGGTACTGCTTTACCTTCTTATGCACTTGTACAAACTGGTCTAAGACAACACTAGAACTCACTTTTCATATTTAGTTTCTCGATTTTCCAATAGAAACAATATCTTGATCGAGTGAGAGAAGCAGTAAACAACTCGCACCGTTGCCAGCACATATCACAATGTATTCTGAACATTTATTTGCCAATACTAAAACTGAAAATCACAAATGAGTAGCCAAACTAAAAAGTTTGTTTCTTTCCAGATACAGAAAAAAGTATTCCACCAGGTCCAATCAGTCCAAAGCCGAGCTCAAGCGATACTCCAAATACCAAACGAGTCAGAACAACTTATACTTCATCCCAAGTTGTTCAACTGGAGAAAGCGTTCCACTCTAACAAATACCTGTGCCGAAAAAGTCGTACCCAAATGGCTCAGCTCTTAAACCTGACGGAACGTCAGATCAAAGTCTGGTTCCAAAACAGAAGGATGAAATGTAAAAAGGAGCAAAAACAAAGGACGCCCTCTCCTGGATTAGACAACAGGACCTCTCCTACTCTGTCAGTTGCTGCATCAACTCCTAGTTCACATAGCAAGCCAAGGGTTGAAACGGTGAGGCCGGATCATCATTTGGTGACTGGCGGGCAGGCTGGTCATAGTCAATGCGTACCACAAACTGTACAGGGAGACCAGTGGGAAGGTAACGCTTTGTACATCAGCCAATGTGAAAGCTTATACGAAAACGTCCAACTAGATCCGAATTATCAATACCAACATGATCCAGTTATCTGCTATCCTGTGAATTGCGAGCAACTTGTAGAGGATAAGCCATTAAATCAGTCCTACCTCAACATCAAAACAAATGAGCAGCCGTCAAGTGATGACTATATTTTGGGACAGAAGAGTGAGTGTCCTATTGGTTGTGATGACCAATATCCATGCACTATATGTGCCATTGATAGTCTCTTGAGGTTTTAAATGTATTCTACTTCTCCTAAATGTCACACACACTTTTTTGTTGGTTAATTCTTTCTTAACTCGAAACGAGAGAAGTAGGTACATAGCTCAAGCAAGGTTTTGCAATGCCAGTCAGCAGGATTCTTTTTGCTGTTGTTTTTGGCATATTGACTGAATCCAGTAAGAATTAATTAGCATTCACTTGTATATAGTCGGGTTAGTGCCAATACCAGTAACTTACATTTTTATACTTCGAAGATCCGAGGATCTGGAAGTCTATGCCAGAACGTCCAACTAGATCCGAGTTATCAATACCAACATCATCCAGTCAACTGCTATCCTGTGAAATACATGCAACTTGTGGAGGATAAGCCATTAAATCAGCACTTCCTCAACATCCAAACAAATGAAGGCGGTGAGAGTGAGTGTCCTATTGTTTGGGACAACCTATATTCATGCATTATAGGTGCCACTGATAGTCTCACGAGTTTGTAAATGTACTCTACTTCTCCTAAATGCCACACACACTTTTTTGTTGCTTAATTCTCTCGAAACGAGAGAAGTAGGTACATAGCTCAAGCAAGGTCTTGCAATGCGACTTTGCAATGCTTATCAGCGGGATTTATCCTGAATGCTTTTGGCTGTTTTTGGCATATTGACTGAATCCAGTAAGAATTAATTAGCATTCACTTGTATATAGTCGGGTTAGTGCCAATACCAGTAACTTACATTTTTATACTTCGAAGATGCGAGGATCTTGAACGTCATTGTTAAATTAAAAATTAAACAAAGAAATAAAATACATTTATATTCACAAACTGAATTAACGGAAGTCTAAAAACAGCAGTAAAACATATTCATAACATTTAGAAAACTATTAACAACAAACCATTTTTGCACTTGTCTTGTTTTGGATGTATACATTTCTATACCTCAGATATTTAACTCTTCCTATACCTCGGGATCAAAATCCTCTGCTGCTGGTTCTGAAATAAGACCGTTTGCTTCTTTGGAGGTCGGACGCGATTTTTAATAATAATGATATTTCTCAGGAATAACATTACTTTTACAAAGTTTAAGCTAATCTTGTTTTTCCTTTATTGATATTGCATTTACCGTATTTGTAACACACACATACAAATCTCATCCTCCTAATATTAAGGTATGTCTCTTCGCGGGCATACACATTATACCATTTTAGATAGGGAACTGTACTTAACCCAAAAATGACAAAAATGTACTTTTCTTTTCTTTTTCAGTAACGGGACGATATGTGCGTTCTATAAACTATAATTTTGACTTAAGATACAAAAGCAATTTTCTGGGTGATGTTAGTGCCCGAGTTTCATAAAAAATTTACTTTGTTGGGAAAATGGTCAACTTCTTTGTTAAGTGTTTCATTTCTAAAAATTTGCTGAACCATTGAATATGTCAATTTGGAATACATATTTTGGATTATAACTCACCAAATGTTTTGTCAAAGTTATTAATGTGCAATATTACTTATGACGTTGAAACTCATTAGTATCCTCATTATTAATTTGAACTTGTTGGTGTACTTGACAATGGGTATATTCATTGGGTTAAAGTCAAATCGAAAGTGGCAGATCGATGAGACTTACACCGATATGCAGCGCAGAAGCGTTTTTGATTTACTGAATTCATTTAACGTCTTTGTAAAATTTTTTCGCCTGTTTATAGCTTATGTACATATTTTGACTAATTTATGTAATATTAACAGTTATTATTTATACAAATACAATAAACTGACTTTCTTGCAAATTGGATGTTTGAATATACCTTTTCGCTCCTAGTCAAATGAGAGGTCAAGCATAGTGACCAATGCTGCTTATTTCGCATGAATTGACACAACAATATATCAATTCAAACAAAGTACTTTTCAAAACTCCAGGTACAGAAATTCTAAGAACTTTTAATGACATGACATGGTATTCAAATTGTTATTTGCGAAAGATCATAAAATGCTCAAAAAATACACAAAAATAGAATTAAACAGTACTTCACATGGACTGATGTCTAAATTTCAGGTACAGATTAATGCTTTGACCTAAGTTATTAGTAGGCTGAAACCGTCGTTTCGAGTTCTTCAGAAATCCAGATTCCTACAGCAAAAGTGATAGATAGATAGAGTGATAAAAAAAACCGAAAGACACAGGTTGGTCCATGTATTCAAAACTCATCCAGTTTTGAAAATTCTCAAAGCCTTTTCGGGCTTGGTTTGATAGTAGCCATGTACAAGAATATCGTCAAAGTCTGACCAGTGTATGACTTAAGAGACACTTAATAAATATTGTCAGCCAACATATTATATAACATTTCATAAATATTTCAATGCGATTTTCTTCCTATATCTCCTTCTACGATTAGGTAATTTCTGACAGTCAACCTGTTACAGCCAAGCGGAAAGGATGCACAGTATAACTTCAGAGTGAAATTTATTTCAAATGCAATAATATATAGGAGAAAATAGTAGGAACGAGAATAGGGAATTCGAGTCTCGCATTAATTTACGAATACTCAAGCCAATGTCTTGTGAATAAGAATAGTAGCTACTCAAGGCAGCCAATAGCTACCTTGCAGCTTGGGGGTAAGAGGCGATTTTTACCTGGCGGCCTCAGAAGGAAGGTTATGCTTTTAGCGCGTGTGTATGTGTCTGGACAAAAATAATTCGATTTCAGGAGGTACAGTTTAATAAGTGGCATGACGGCTAGGGCTAAGATCAAGACTAGCTTAGTGTCAGCCTTGGTCTTGCAAAATTATTGAAGTCTCGGTCTAACTGTTGCAAAATTTGCTATTCGGGTAAAATAGTCCCATATTACTTTTAGTGCTTAATAGTGGTGGCAGAGATGATATAAGTAACGTTAGCAGTTTTTTTGGTCTACTATTTTTAGCATTACTACTTTTCCGAAAACAGATTGTAATAATATTAATGGGACTTAGTAATAATAGGTTCTGACTTGCAAACTTGTATACACAACGATTGTGATTTAGAATAGTAGCTTTTGTATGTAAGTTATAGGGCTACCCTGTAGAAGCTAGAAAATAGAAAATGCAAGTCAGCACATCATCGCAGCGCCTAGCAACCGTTGAAATGCAACATGATATGTTTCCTGTTTTACTCATGCTAACGAACATTGTACTTGTATAATTAAAATTTAGTCTTAATCTAACTTTCGTACCATCCACTACTGTATTTTCGGAAATAAATATTTTTAAAAAGGCACTTACGTTATCCCGAAAGGTAAGTGGCGCAGCCAGTAGGTTATTTGGGGTTGTTTACGGCTTATAAACCACCCTTCGTCGAACGATTAACCAAATATGAACCGAAAAAAAGTCTCGCGAATCGGTAATTTTGGTCGGTCGCGTGGACTCGACCATCTAGAGGAATTCCAACTTGGTGGATCGAGTAGCCAAGTGAGAAGACGTCAACCAAGGGGCCAAGGGAATATTGGACCATGGCGGAATCTCTACTCTGCAGCATACAGGGCATGGAACTTCTAGTGGTATTGCTCAAAGTACCTAATGTCTTTTAGAGAACTCGAAAATATTAATTCTGATAGCAGTCATAGAGCGGAATCGGATTCTGACTCACCAATAGCTAATTCGAATATTCAATTCTCAAGAACAATTTTTAGATCAATAATTCTGAATTTACCTATTATCAGTGAAAATCAATTAAGTAACAATGACTAGTTCAAACAATGTACCTTTCCTAAAACCGGAATACTTGCACATGATTCCTGATTTTCATGGTGAACCAGAATTATTACCCAAATTTCTTGAAATTTCAGAGAAATTAGTCACGAAATTTTATAATGCCACAAATCCAGAGGACTTTCAAAACGAATATTTGATGTCAAGTTTGCTTGCGAAAATAAAAGGCGACGCAGCACTTAATATTTCTTCGTCTCACATAAAAAACTGGCAAGATTTAAAAAATGCTCTTCTCAATGCTATCTGCTATCTGCCTAAATAAGCGCGATCTTTTCACGTTGATTATAGAGATGGTAGAATTAAGGCAAAATCAAAACGAAAACCCTTTTGAATTTTATAATAGGATTCAACATCTGTTAAATTTACAAATTTCATACTCTGTATCACACTTACTAGAAAATGAAGCTATAATAGTTAACAACTATTGTAGAAATCTAGCTTTTAGAATTTTATTAAGAGGTTTGAAGGAACCTATTGTATCTTTAATGCGTACAAAAAACCCAGAAGATCTCAATCAAGCTTTGCACATGCTTACGAATGATTTTCAGTTAGAGGCAGTACAACAAAATCAATTTACACAGAAGTTTGATCAAAAACATCATCCGAAGGCAAATCAATTTAAGCGAAATCCTCAAAATTTCCAAAACTCACAGTTTAGACCACCCTTACCTATTACTAATTATCCTCATAACCAAAATCATCGTAGCCAGAACAATGCTAGACAAACACAGCAACCTAATGTGTTTAGGCCGAATCAAAATCAATCATTTCCTAAACCGACACCTATGTAGACATCAACTAGAAATACATTCAGACCTCAGCAAAATCAATCGTACCAAAGAAATCCAAATAACAATTATTTTGTAAATCACAACAATTCGAGACCCAATTACGTGGTTGAGGAATTATTTAATATAGACCAGTAGCCACAGGTTGACTACCCAAACGAACCTGATGATTCGAATCAAGATAACGATGGAGATCAAATTTTTCGGCAAACAGCCTCGGATCAGTAATGCCTCATTATGAGCTAATGGATACAAATAGCGATAGTGAATTACCTTACATTATTTTTCCTAAGTTACATTTGAAAATATTGATAGACACAGGTAGTACGAAAAGTTTCATTCGTCCAGAAATTGCGGATAAATATTTTAAAGATTCGATTAAAAAGGATCCATTTCAAATTTCCACGGTTCATGGAAGTTCAAC